CAATAAGTCTATTTATTTACTTAAAAATAAAATCATTCAAAATAACTTAAATTTCTCAAGCAAATTTGCATTTAATCATGGTTTTAACATTATACCATGGCCTGTAAAACCCGTTTGCTCTATGGTGCTTTTAATTCATAAATAATTGTTTTAGACTAACAGATAATATATAAGTGAACAGTTATGTATCTGCTAAATGTTTATGCAAATACCATAGCTACCAATAAATGCTTGTTGTATAAATACTTAAGCATATTTATTCAAAATAAGATCAACAACCTATTAATCTTTATGAAAAGGTTATAACAAAAAGCACAAAAGACAAACATCCCTCAATTCATTTTTCTTTTAAAAAAATTGAAAACATCTAAAGATTTGTTATTATTCTAAGATCTCCATTCAAAATTTGATTTGGATGTACAATCAATATTACTATTTATGACAATGTACAAAGGAAAAGATTTGGAATTGGAGGTGGACAAAGAAGAGGGCAACATCTGCCCCAGTGTGGGAGGAATCATACAGCCTGTCATGGCTCCTATAGAATTGTACCTCTTTTCTTCCAGTTCCATTTGTGATGCCTTGAAATCAGGATGTTGAAGGTTTGTACTTGATCGATGTTGCCTTTCCAGAAGCCGTTCCATTTCTTTAATCTGAAACTTTAACTTTCTATTTTCTTTCTCTAGTTTTTGTTTTTCTGTTTCAAGTAATTCTCTTGTGTTCCATTCCAAGGTATTTTCAGCCTGCAGTTTCTTTTGCTAAATACAGAAAACATGAAGTGTAGTAAAGAGTTTTACAATATGGACATAATCTGACTTTTACCTAACCTTGCAACCAAAAAAATTACTGCTTATAATGATAGGAAGCTCATTTAGAGCCCAGTGCCCCTCTTGTAACTTTTTCATATGGCCTTAATCTCTCAGGACCCTTCTTTGCCAAGATAGTGTATGAATGTGCGTATGCATGATTTAAGTACTAAAATATCAAAGCATTGCAAATAGTGTGCTTATCTCATTGAAAGCAGTGACAGAAATTTAAAGCATCTGTTTCGGATTGTGTATAGGCATTGATCTAGATCTAGTCATCAGAAAGAGCGTGATTCTCTGAAGAGAGTTTGACTTTTACTTCCCCATTTTATACTGGACATATTAGCTCAATAAAGAGTGAGAAAAGCACTTGCTTTTTAGCACAATTCCAAAAGAAATCTGAAGTAACATGTTCTCAGCAATTCAGGTCTCCTCTTGGATCTAAAATGGATGGTAAGAGTGAAGATACTGTAACATGGTGTTAAATAGTAAATGCTGCAGTGAAGGAGAATATAGGATTTATTACTGCCAAATTATATGTCACCCAGTAAAGAGTCTCCCTCAGAATGGTTCATGGACATATGCCCACTAAGGGGTAAAGGGTAATGGATCTTCTTTAAGAAGGTGACTCTAGATAGGTTGAATAGACTCCAGTGAGTAAACTTGTACTGAGGGACATCTGGATAGAAATGTTTGACGGGATAGGAAATAACATATATGATAGAATATCTAAAATCTGGTGGGGGGCTCTGAGGGGTGGGTAGGGGGTTTAAATGTGATTAAGATGTATTCTATGAAATGAACAAAATGATAAAATATTAAAAATGAAAAAAAATCAAAAATTTCAACTAAACGTATCAAAGTAAAAGCTTCTGTGTTTTTTCCAACATTTTCCATTCCCTGTGAACATTTATCTATTGGAAATAGAAAAAATTTTCTTGGGAAACTTTGCTTATATGTAGTTCATTTATTCATTCATGCATTCAATTATCTGATAAAAGAAATTATGTGTATATTTACGCATGCATTTCTTTATAAACATCATACACTACAGAGAAACACATGAATATAGTAAAATCTTAGAGCTTCTGTGATTATGATGCTACAAATACAGCCAAATATATGCTTTGAAGTGTCAAGTTGTTCCACATTGATCCCTTTATTTAAGCATGTTCTATAGCAAATACTTTTTCTGATAACCACCAGGAAAAGCAAAAGGAAGAATACTAGTTGGTTATTAAGGTTATATAAAGCTGAAGTTTAAATACAATAAATGAAATTGTATTGGAATAAATACTTGCCATTCGTTCACACATTACCTATAACTTTTCACACATGATAGCAGAGTTGAACTACTGAAATAGAGACTTTGTAAAACAAGCAAATCTGACAGAATGCAACCCTCTAGACAGGCTTATAAGAAATGTTTGAAGACCTATTCTATATGAACTTGAAACTATGGTAAGTATCATCTAAAACTATATAAATCAGTGAAAATTACTGGAAAAGCAGACGTGAGTAAAAAGAGATAAATTAAAACATCATAACAGAAAACTAAAAACAAAACAAAACAAAAAACCCCCAGAAAGATGGAGAAGAAAACAGAAAACAGAACTTAATCAGAAAATAATTACTGAACAATTACAGTAAATTCCTATGTACCTTGAATGGGTAAAGATCAAAGACACCAATCAAAAGACAACAAACATTCAATGGATTTAAATAAAGCAAGACTCAACTTTCTACAAGCAAAAAGAGATGGAAAAATTATTCTTGCATTAGTAAACCAACAGTGAGGAAAAGGCACAGCATTTAAATCAGATGGAATAGACAAAGATAAAAATTGCAAAAAAAATGGCTACTATAAAGTGATAAAGGGATGAATTCAATGAGAGTCAACAATAAGCATGTTTACCTACTTCTGTAGCATTTAATCAAATGAATCAAATGTTATCATATCTAAAAGGAGAGACTCTCCAATGAAATAACTGTTGGGGAGATAAATAAGTCTACTTCTTAAATGATACATAATCCAGATGAAATCTCAACAATAACATCAGAGTGGAATGATAATCTAGATGAAATAAAGCAAAGACCTATAGAGCATTTATCGAACAACAGCACAGTCCATATTCTCCTCGGTACAGGAGGTATTCTCCAGGACTGCGTATAAAAAGTCTAAACAAAGTCAAAAAATAAAATCAAAATCACACCATGTCTTTTCTGACTAAGTGAACTCAAGAAATTATATAAACAGATAAAAGATAAACATCAAGCTTTTGATTTACCAGGGAGTCAATGACAGAAACAAGAGAGAAACAAAATTTCTTGAAACAAATGAAAAGTGAAAAAGGTAACAAACCCTACTGACTACACCAAACACAAAACTTAGAAAGTGTTCATAGCACTGAGCACATGTATCACTAGGAAATTCTTCCAGTAAACTACCCAATTATACCACTAAAGGAACTGGAAAGGTAAGACTAAAACAAAGAGGACACTGATAATAAAATCTCTTTAAAAGAGCTCACAGAGAAGAAACAGACATTTTAAAATGAAGCAAAATTGTTTTGGATAAGATAAAGAAAATTGATAATGTTTATCCAGGATAACTAAGAAAAACTTGAAATGACCCGAATTTAAAGAAAAACAACAGCAAAACAACAAAAAATAAGATGAAAAAGAAAACATCAGGGATCACTTTGAACTGCTATATGTCAACAAATTAGAAAACCTAGACAAAAGAATACATTTCTAGACATACATGAAGTACCAGAACCTAACATGAAGACAAAGAAAACCAAGACACACTAATAATGAGTAGCTAGATGGAACTAGAAAAGACTGTGGTACAATGTGTTCTTTGCTTAAACACACAAAATACTTGAATAAAAGCAATCACAATTTTTTTAACAGCTTTCCAAAATGTTGAAAAGAAAGATATTCCACCAAATCATATATAGCCAAGATTTTCCTGATACCTACACACACACACACACACAGAGAGAGAGAGAGAGAGAGAGAGAGAGAGAGAGAGAGACAGAGAGAGAGACACAGACAGAGACACAGACAGAGATAGAGAGACAGAGAGAAAGACAAAGAGACAGAGACAGAGTGAGGCAGAAAGAATGAATTGTAGAATACTATTCCTGAAGAAAGTATAGGCTAAATATTTAACAGATAATAGCAAATGAAAGATTATGTGCACATGTTCAAGTGCGATTTATCTCAGGATGATTCAACATGAAATAGTCATAAAATATAACATAAGACATCAAGATAGAAAAGCAAAAACACATCGTCAGCTCAATACATACATGAAAAGGATTCAATAAAAGTAAACTTCCCTTTATGATAAAAAAAAATCCTTTAACAGAATAGGTATAAATAGAACATATCTTCAAACAATAAAATCTGTATTTTACAGGTACATGGCCAATATGCTAAATAATGAAAAACTTGAGTATTTCCTCAGGCTGGAGAGATGGCTCAGCGGTTAAGAACACTGGTTGTTCTTGCAGAAGACCCAGGTTCAAATCCCAGGACCCACATGGCTGCTAACCACTGTCGCTGACTCCAGTCCCAAGGGATCCAACAGCCTCTGCGGGCACTGCATGACATGGGTGCACTTACCTACATGCAGGCAATACATGCATACACATAAAATAATAAAGTGTTTTTAAAAAGTATTTTTTCATAAATCTGGAAAGAAAGAATGATCTTCATTTCTACTACTCCCATTCAACATAGTACTGAGAAGAGAATGGGGAAAAAAGGGTGCAGAGGCCAATCACTGGGCATAAATTACTATTAGAATAAAAATTTCTGGTGTATCCTTGAATATTTGGGAAACACAGCAGTCCTATCGTATGCTTGATACAAACTAGATTCAGCTGATAAGGGAATCTTATTTGAGGAATTTGCCAGATCAGACTGGCCTGCGGCCATGTCTTTGAAGGACTTTCTTAAGTGCTGATTGATGTAGGCAGGTCCAGCTCACTGTGGGAAGTACCATCCCTAGGAAGGTGGTCCTGAGCAGAGTAAGAAAGCTAACTAAGCAAGAGCCTGGAAGAAAGCCAGCAAGCAGAGGTCCTCCACCGTTTCTGCTTCGGCTCCTGCTTGAGTTCCTGCTCCGACTACTGTCAATGACAGAATGTAATCTACAAATAAAAGCTGAATCAAACCCTTTCCTTCCTTAAGTTGCTTTTAATTGTGGAATTTATTTTAGCAAAATAACGCAAAAGAGAACAGCAAGAAACAATGATGGGCTGTGTATTTTTTAAAATATTTTATTTATTATTTTTATTTTGTGTGTATGAGTGCATGAATGTAAGGGCACCCGTGTTGTGCAGTGCCTGCGGAGGTCAGAAGAGAGCGTGGAATTCCTCTGGAACTACAGTACGGATGGTTGTTAGCCACCATGTTAGTGCTGGGAATTGAACCCAGGTCCTCTGCAAGAGCAGCAGTGCTCTTAACTGCTGAGCCATCTCTCTAGCCCCCTGGATTGTGTATTTTATCAACCCAGAAGAAAGTATTTTGAAAGTTCCTACCACAATAGAAAGACCTTGAGTCTGGTTCCTCCACTTACACATGACCTGATGTGCATAAGACTTCTATTTTCAGTTACTTAGTTTATTTGATAGTAAAATGAGATCATCAAATTTAGTGTATGGTGGAGGGTGGTCACCTATTAAAATACTTTATAAGTTGTACAACTATTAAACTATGAGACAGCTTAAAACATTTTGTTTGGCTAGGGATTAGCTCGGTGGTAGAGCCCTTGTTTAGAAAATTCAGGTCCCCGATTTCCAACCCTAACAGTAATATTTGCTAAAGAAAAATTTGTAGACTAGTTGTTTTTACTTTACTAGTTATTTTAATAGTTTGATTGAAATGTTTTATTTCAGACCATACTATTGTAGAGAGCGTTTCTATAACATTTTAAATTCTAA